TGACAGCTGGTGGTATTCCTCTCTTGCATGCCGATGGGAATTCTATAATAAACCTGTTTCTTCCATTTGCGAATGATTGCACCAACTGTTGTCACCTTCTCACCAAGCTGCAATAGTTTGGTAGCCCAGTCCAGCCTTGTGTAGGTCTAGAATCTTGTCCCTGACATCCTTGGACAGCTCTTTGGTTTTTGCCATGGTGGAAAGTTTAAAATCTGATTGTTTGATTGCTCCTGTGGACAGGTGCCTATTATACAGGTAACAAAATGAGATTAGCAGCACTCCCTTTAAGAGACTGCTTCTAATCTCAGCTTGTTACCTGTATGAAAGACACCAGGTAGCCAGAAATCCTACTGAATGATAGGGGATCAAATACTTATTTCCTCATGAACATGCAAATCAGTGCATAATTTGTTAGACATGCATTTCTTTTGAATTTTTGTAGCTATTCTGTCTCTCAGTGTTACAATACACCTACCATTTGATTTTTAGACTGATCATTTCTTTGTGAGTGGGCAAACATTCAAAATCAGCAGGAGATCAAATACTTATTTCCTTCACTGTAAATGTCTACACCTATAGCAAGGGCATTATTCAACTTTAGTCAGAACTGCACAGTTTGTTTTTATCTACAGACGCCTCTTGTCTGCATAGAAAGTTTTGGTAAAGGTTAACTAACCCTTTAATCTTTTATCTGTTGTGCTTTCATCAAGGGCCCCAACTTTGCCAAATTTTTTTTTTCTTCTTTATCATCATTCACTGGCCAATGTGAATAATCTGGGACTGTTATGGCAAGTTGGGACTGTCTTTATATACTGGTGCTAGGTAAATGCAGTTCAGATCTGTTAAAGCGGAACTAAACCCATCGACTTAAAGTGGAGTTCCACCCATTTTTTCATGTTCCTTGCAACACAATGCTCATCCGCAGAACAGTCTGTAAAGGCAATTATTTAAATTTTTTTTTCCTTCTAAATACTTTATTTTCCTATTGGAGTCTGCACTTCCAGTCCTGGCCGCCTAGGCAATTACGTCATTAGGCGATTCCCTACGGCTCCTGGGATATCGCTGTCATCTATCTCAGGAACCTTCAGACAGCACTTGCCTTCCTTCTGGGTTCTGTGTTAATTGACAGGTTGCCATAACAACAGGGTGGGAACTCCTGCTGCCACCGCCATTGTTTTGGCAACCTGTAAGCAACACAGTGCGCCGCAGTGTCCTTACTGCGTAGGCGCAAAATCGGGAGGTGCATGCTGGGTAGTCAACTGCACGGAATCCCAGAAGCAAGTAGTAGCGGGCTTCAGATGCCCACACTAGTAATGGCCGCTGCCTGTCTGCTGGGATCCTGCGATGAATGTCATATTTCCAAGTAAGAAGAAGAAATACACTTATAACAGTATTCTTTTTATATTGTGCAACTAAAGAGAATCACAGGGGTGCCTTTTGTAGAAAACTGCCAAGGTGATTGGATCTCCGCTTTAACAGCTTAAAAAAACAGTTACATTCCCGACAAGCCAGGAATGCTAACTGCCACATTTGCTTGTGCTCTCCACCAAACTGTCAAACCATCAAATGAATGGTGTCATGACTGATCGCATGTGCAGCACCATGGCAGTTGCAGATCAAACAAATCTAAGATGGCAGTTTCCTTGGCTGAAAAGGACAGAGAGTTTGGTTACTCTTTAATTACTGTTACTCAGAATACTACAGGTGTTTAACCATATCCCTCAGAGTAGCAGTAATGTCTTGTTATGTTTATAAATGTACACTTGCTAATCCTCTCTCCTTTTAGGCTATTCTTGGGCTAATAAATTCTTTGAAATACTTCATAGTGTGTCAGTAAGTGTTGGGTGAGTGATGTGTGTCATCTTCAGGTGTGCAAAGAGATCACAAAATGATTCAGCGGCTTTTCTGGAGTAGTGCTAAATCTATATGGCCAGCAACCCTACTCATGACATCACTAAACAAGGGGCAGATCCCAAGGGGCACTAACACCTGCCAATACACACATGGAGTGTTGTCACCCTAGGATGGAAAGCTGCTTGGGAATCTATTAGGCCCCTTTCACATAAACATTCCAATTGGGTCTGCCTGTCCGTTTTTTAGGTGGACCCAATCAGAACCTCCATTCTCCTCCATGGAGAGGCGGGTATAAATTGACATGTGTCTGTTTACACCCGTCTAGATCTAATACGATCTGCTAAAAAAACAATGGATGGGGATTGTTCCCTTTCCATCCAGTGGATCGGATGGTAGTCGGGTGTAGATGAACAGGAAGTTGGTTTACAGGGGCTATGTCCGCATCTGCTCTGCATAATTTTTTTTTTTTTTTAGTTGTTGCAGAAACCAGTGACAACTGTGTAAACAAACAAATTTTTCTTGCCTGAAAATGGACATAAACAGAACGGATGTAAATGGACGGCATCCGTTCACGTCCATTCCATTCCAACTGATCTGGATGTTGGTTGTTCCGTTTAACCACTTGCCCTCCAGAGGATTTACTCCCCTTCATGACCAGGCCATTTTTTGCTGTTCGGCACTGCGCTATTTCAACTGGTAATTGTGCGGTTGTGCAATGCTGTACCCAAACAAAATGTATGTTCTTTTTTCACACAAATAGAGCTTTCTTTTTGATGGTATTTGATCGCGGTTATTAATTTTTGCGCTATAAACAAAAAAAGACTGCAAATTTTGGAAAAAAAAAGCAATATTTTTTACTTGGTTATAAAATATATCCAATATAAACTCAAAGTTAGTCATACATTTAGGCTAAAATATATTCTGCTACATGTCTTTTGGTAAAAAAAAATTTTTTATACGTGTATATTAATTGGTTTGTGTGAAAGTTATAGCGTATCTATATTGGAATTTAAGCAGCTTTTACTTTCTGACTGCCTATCACATTTCTTGAGGTGCTAAAATGCCAGGGCAGTACAACCCCCCCCCCCAACCCCCCAAAATGACTGTTTTTTGGAAAGTAGACACCCCAAGGATTTTGCAAAGAGGCATGTTGAGTCCATGGAACATTTTATTTGTTTGCCACAAATTTTTTGAATGACAAATTTATTTATTTTTTTTTTTACACATAGTTGTCACTTTAATGATATATTGCTCATGCATGCCATGGGTATATGTGAAATAACACCCCAAAACTAGGGGCGGACTGACCATTTGGAAACTTGGGCACTGCCCGAGGGCCCGGGGTCAGTAGGGGGCCTTATGAGATGCCCCTGGTACCTTTTTCATAGGCTTTTTAGAGTCTGTGAAAGGACACATGGGCCCCATGATCCCCTATTGCTCGGGGGCCCCATGAGTTGTCAGTCCGCCCCTGCCCAAAACACATCTGCATATGGGGATACCACATGTGGGAGACTTTTTGGCAGCCTAGCTACATACAAGCCCCCAAAATCCAATGACCACCTCCAAGCTTTCAAAGGGCATATTTCCTCATATCACTTCCCCACTACCTATCACAGTTTTGAAGGCTCTAAAATGCCAGGTTAGTACAACCCCCCCCCCCCCCCCCCATGACCTCTTTTTGTAAAGTAGACACCCCAAGGAATTTGATAAGAGGCATGGTGAGTATGAAAAAGAAAAAAATTACTTTTTTGTTTTCTTTCTTCGTTTTCCAAAAACATGTGGCAACAAATGAGATCTGCAAAACACTCACCATGCCTCTTAGCAAATACCTTGGAGTGTCTGTTTTCCAAAAAGGGGTCATTTGGAGGGGTTGCTGCTACTATCCTGGCATTTCCTAGATTGTAAGCTCCAAGGAGCAGGGCCCTCTAATCCCTCTTGTATTGAACGGTATTGTTACTGTACTGTCTCCCTCCATAACGTAAAGCACTGAGCAAACTGTTGGCACTATACAAGTCCTGTATAATACTAATAATAATAATTTCAGGGCCAACATTAGAAGCTTATGCCACACATCACCCACTCTTGAAGACCAAGCCTTTTCTGACACTTTTTGTTCACATGAAAAAAAAATTTTTTGAGGGGTACGTCGCTTTGCCTGTAGCTGCCGCTTTGCCGCAGTACATTGTGGGCGGCGGGGGAAGTGGGTTAAAAAACATAACTGAAAGATGTAAACAAATGATCATCTGTTTGTGCACAGAAATGAATTATCAGTAGACAGATGAAAACCGGACAGACAGAACATCTGTGTGAAAGGAACCTTAACCCCATCCTGACGCTGCTCCCGGCCATTTAGGAGGTAGATATGGGCTTTCCAATCATGTGACCGCTGTGTGCTTTCCGGTACCTGCTGGAAACTCTGCTGGGTATATTTACACATGGTATGCATATATGCAGCCTCTTGGCGTTAAAGCCCACCCGCTGAGAAGCCGCATATGTGTATGGCCAGTGGGAAGAGATTAAAATGTAACTTCACACCAAAGGGAGGCTCCATTTTTTTCAGTCCTCCTCCTCCAACCAGGATCATTCACAAATCACAGCACGGCTCACGCATGCACAGAACTGATTTGGGTGAGGATGGCGCTGGATCCCTGGACAGGTAAGTGTCCTTTTCATAAAAGTCAGCAGCTACAGTGTGTGTAGCTTCTGACTTCTATATGTTTTCATACAAGGTGAAGATCCTCTACAACACAGCAATTGGGGGGTAATACTGATTTGTAGGTTCTCTTCCATGCAATAAAGACATAAGCAGATACAGAATGACTGAGCAGTATCCCACCATCACAACAGGCTGGTGTTCTGACAGAATGACGTCACTCGCCTATCTAGACTGTATAGCCTGGTCCCACCCCTGGTTGTGTTGCCGTCCGTTTCCATGGTGGCGGACGCTTGGTAACGGCGGAGGCGGTGCATGCGCACAACTGCATTCGAAAGGGATTGTGGGAAGGGAAGAACTGGCCGGTGCTGAGAACACAGTAACCGAGCCCTGGAGACGGTTGTCAACGAGGAGCGGGAGTCGGTGAAGCAAGCCTGGGAGTAGAGAGGTCGCTCCGCCGTACCTCTGCCGGTTCACAGGCCCGGTCTCCGGGATGGAGGCCGCGGTGATCCGGCGCACACAGGACATTCTGGGGAAGGTGATCAGGAAGCCCCCGCTCACCGATAAACTGCTGGGCAAGCCGCCGTTCCGTTACCTGCATGACATTCTGACCGAGGTGAGAGCCGGGCGACCGGACAACTTTCTTCTAGAACCAGCAGTGTCAGAATGGTGTGCTGGGATTTGTAGTGCTTCTATAGAGAGAGCCAAGGGTTGCCTGGACTCTTCTCTATGTAGGCACAGCCATATGGAGCCGGGAGGGACAGGAGCCATATGGAGCCGGGAGGGACGGGAGCCATATGGACCACCTGATACTGAACTAGAAAAATCCTATCTAAGTATGTATTCCTAAAGCAGACCTTCAGTGGAGTGGCTCCGCCCCCTGGTGCCACCATTTTGGCGTGTGCCTATGGGCTCTGCCCAGCCTTCAGGTCCTGTCGGTGTATCTGCACTCAAGGCGGGAAAATGCTGCACACGAGCAAAGACAAGGAAGGTCTCCGGCTTAGTGGTCTTTGTGCGTGCGTGGGTACTGGGATCAGAGCCCTGCGGCACATCTACACACACATCGGGGGCAGGTACAAAGTCTCACCTAGGCAAACCAAGCAGAAGTACTTAAAGCGGAACTAAACTCAGCGATTTAAAAAAAAAAAAAAAACAACAGTTACATTTCCGGAACGTGCCGGGAATGCCAACTGTCACATTTGCTTGTGCTCTCAACCTAACTGGCAAACCATCAAATGGCTGGTGTCATACCTGATCACATGTGCAGTATCACGTGTTGCCACCTCATCCCTTTAAAACTGAACACATTGATTATACAGGTTCTGAGGATAATTTAACCCCCCTGGCGGTATTCCCGAGTGTAGCTCGGGGTTAACTTTCAGTACCAAAAGCGGTAACCCAGAGCTACACCCGGGATTACCCTGCAGCATTGCTCTGGGATCTCTCAAGCACTTACCTTGTCCTGCGCTCCCGCGATGTCCCCCCTGCAGCATTGCTCTGGGATCTCTCAAGCACTTACCTTGTCCTGCGCTCCCGCGATGTCCCCCCTGCAGCATTGCTCTGGGATCTCTCAAGCACTTACCTTGTCCTGTGCTCCCGCGATGTCCCCCCTGCAGCATTGCTCTGGGATCTCTCAAGCACTTACCTTGTCTGTGCGCTCCCGCGATGTCCCCCCTGCAGCATTGCTCTGGGATCTCTCAAGCACTTACCTTGTCCTGTGCTCCCGCGATGTCCCCCCTGCAGCATTGCTCTGGGATCTCTCAAGCACTTACCTTGTCCTGTGCTCCCGCGATGTCCCCCCTGCAGCATTACTCTGGGATCTCTCAAGCACCCACCTTGTCCTGCGCTCCCGCGATGTCCCCCCTGCAGCATTGCTCTGGGATCTCTCAAGTACTTGTCCTGTGCTCCCGCGATGTCCCCCCTGCAGCATTGCTCTGGGATCTCTCAAGCACTTAGCTTGTCCTGTGCTCCCGCGATGTCCCCCCTGCAGCATTGCTCTGGGATCTCTCAAGCTCTTACCTTGTCCTGCGCTCCCGCGATGTCCCCCCTGCAGCATTGCTCTGGGATCTCTCAAGCTCTTACCTTGTCCTGCGCTCTTGCAATGTCCCCCCTGCAGCGTCTCTGGCTATCTCCTCTGGCCAATGCCGACGTCAGGACGTACGGGGGCTTGAACTGACAGGAAATTCAAAAATGTAAAAATGTGACATTCACTCAATACTCTAAAATCTGATAGTATAACATTACTGTATCAAACCATTTCACATACATTTTGTCCCGAGTGCTTTGTCCAGTGCCCTGCCTGCATTTTTTTTTCTTTCTGCCTGGACACTGAGAAATGTCCATGGCATCCAAAAAGCGTCCCTTTAGGTCAAAAGCGGTTTTAGACTAGCTAGAGAACAGCGATAGTGAATTAGAACTACTTGCAGAATTGAGTGATAATGATTCGAGGGAAAATTTGTCATCAGACACTGAAAACGATTTTGTGACTTTGCTCAATGATGTGCGAACTTGGCGCTATATTTCATATTTCAGTGTTTTTTGGTTTGATTATATTATTGAATTAAATTTATTATTATATTATTATTTTTTATGATTATTATATTAGAATTTATGATTTTTTGTGTTTCAAATTTTAACATACCCGGGATGTTTACTAGACTCTTGTTCAGACAGATTTCAGTGAGTTATTCCTAAGAATTACAGGCCTACAATAAAAAAACAACATATTTCCATTGAAAAACAATGTACCGCTTTGAGCACAGAAATACTGACATAATCAGACCGCTAGGGAGGTTAATGCAGATAAGGCACTGTGAGTTTAATTACCACCTTAATCAGCTACAGAACCTGTGTAATTAATATTTGTTCAGTTTTAAAGGGATGAGGTGGCAACCCTAGTGCAGCACCATGGCAGTTGAAGATCAAACAGAGGCCAAGATGGCAGCTTCCTTGACTAAGACCGGGTTCACACTGATGCAGTTAGGGAAAGGCTGCATATGCTGTGCATTTCACGCTCCACACACTACGTTCATGCAATCTGGTGTGGGTGTCAATGTTAAACTTCAATGACACCCTGAAACAGATTGCAAAATGCAGTGCGATTGCCAGAAATCGCATGAGTGAGAACACCCATGTGATGTGATTCAGGTGCGGATGGAAAAAAAAGGGTCCTGTGCCTTTTTGGTGCCAATGCGATGGGATTTGAGCCATAAAAAAAAATGTATCAGATGTAATTCGCACAGGAATGCGGTGTGATTCCTGTGCAAATTACATGTGGTGTCCCGCACCGCATTAGTGTGAACCCAGTCTGAAAACAATAGAAGGGCTTAGAACAAAAAAGAGGGTGGGGGGAGGACAACTTCCCAGTTAGTATGAAGGTCTACTTTACCTTAGATAGCTGCCTTTTATTGCTCTCATCCTCCTTCAAATCTCCAAATTCCTTTTTTTGCTGCTGTGATCCAACTTCCTGTTAGAAGGTGACTACATTCGTTCCCCATGGTACCACTGTATGTAGGTACAGAGCCACCCTCTCTTGCTCACTCCTGAGATGAACTAGGGACCAACAATGAGCTTAGGCATGTTCAGATCCTCAGTACAAACAAGTGGCAACCACCCAAACCTATAACTAGCATTTGTAGCAAGGAGCACATGGAAGGGTAACGCATGTCAAAAAACAACAAACAAAAATTCCCAGCTCACCTACCAGCCAGCTTGCAGCAAACTGAATTGTCCTGTCTAAGGGCTTGTTCACACTTGACTACTTTCTAACTTTTGCCAAATGCCCCTATAGCGTTTCACAGGTGTTAGACGGGCATTTGGGAAGCGTTTTAACGCTCCCCAAATGCCCAATGCACATATTTGAGGCGTTTGCCATGTGTTAAAACCACACCACAAACACCTATAATAAAGATAATGGTATTAACGCTCCACAACTGCCTCACAAACGCCTGCCAGGCATTTGAGGAGTGTCACCATAGACTTGAATGGGAGGCTTCAACTCCTTTTGATTCAACATGAGGCGTCAATTTTGCCACGACGCTAACGCTTCAGTGTGAGCAGCACTGTGTGCTGCTATGTGTAGAATTTTCATAGGCATTTGAGGAACATTAAAAACACTTCCCTAATGCCTGCTGACAAAGCTAGTGTGTACTTAGCCTTCCTGTCCACATTAAAAAAAGGGGTTTAGTTTGCAAATATATACATAAGCTGCAGAGGCCACTTCACGGCTCCCCAGTGTACTGCAGTCCTAACTTTATAAATTTTGAGTCTCCAAAGTTGGAGCACATATATAGTCATGGATAGACTGGAGGGAGCCCACTCCTCCTTAAAGATATAGGATTGCACTGGACCCCCAGCATATAGCACAATGGCAGCGAAGTTATCCAGTGCATCCCCTCACCAGTTCACCAATGGTACAAACAAATGGCAACCATCCCAACCTATTACTGGCATTTGCAGCAAGGAGCTGCTGGGTGTCCAGTGCGGGGTGGTTGCCATTTGTTTGTACTGTTGGCAATCTGGTGAGAGGATGCACCAATTCTTTTCTGTACAACATTGGTTCTTCTGCTTGTGTGTGTGAAGTCAAATTTGTTTACATCCTAAGTCTAATATGCCTGTCTGTTTTTAAAAAATTATATACTGTATTAAAGTTGGTCCCTTATACAGTGGGGCAAAAAAGTATTTAGTCAGCCACCAATTGTACAAGTTCTCCCACTTAAAAAGATGAGAGAGGCCTGTAATTGGCATCATAGGTAGACCTCAACTATGAGAGACAAAATGAGAAAAAAAATCCAGACAATCACATTGGCTGATTTGAAAATAATTTATTTGCAAATTATGGTGGAAAATAAGTATTTGGTCACCTACAAACAAGCAAGATTTCCGGCTCTCACAGACCTGTACCTTCTTCTTTAAGAGGCTCCTCTGTCCTGCACTCATTACCTGTATCAATGGCACCTGTTTGAACTTGTTATCAGTATAAAAGACACCTGTCCACAACCTCAAACAGTCACACTCCAAACTCCACTATGGTGAAGACCAAAGAGCTGTCGAAGGACACCAGAAACAAAATTGTAGACCTGCACCAGGCTGGGAAGACTGAATCTGCAATAGGCAAGCAACTTAGTGTGAACAAATCAACTGTGGGAGCAATAATTAGAAAATGGAAGACATACAAGACCACTGATAATCTCCCTCGATCTGGGAGATCTCACCCCGTGGGGTCAAAATGATCACAAGAATGGTGAACAAAAATCCCAGGACCACACGGGGGGACCTAGTGAATGACCTGCAGAGAGCTGGGACCAACGTAACAAAGGCTACCATCAGTAACACACTACGCCGCCAGGGACTCAGATCCTGCAGTGCCAGGCGTGTCCCCCTGCTTAAGCCAGTACATGTCCGGGCCCGTCTGAAGTTTGCTAGAGAGCATTTCGATGATCCAGAAGAGGATTGGGAGAATGTCATATGGTCAGATGAAACCAAAATAGAACTGTTTGGTAGAAACACAACTCGTTGTGTTTGGAGGAGAGAGAATGCTGAGTTGCATCCAAAGAACACCATACCTACTGTGAAGCATGGGGGTGGCAACATCATGCTTTGGGGCTGTTTCTCCGCAAAGGGACCAGTACGACTGATCCATGTACAGGACAGAATGAATGGGGCCATGTATTGTGAGATTTTGAGTGCAAACCTCCTTCCATCAGCAAGGGCATTGAAGATGAAACGTGGCTGGGTCTTCCAACATGACAATGATCCCAAACATACCGCCCAGGCAACGAAGGAGTGGCTTCGTAAGAAGCATTTCAAGGTCCTGGAGTGGCCTAGCCAGTCTCCAGATCTCAACCCTATAGAAAACCTTTGGAGGGAGTTGAAAGTCCGTGTTGCCCAGCGACAGCCCCAAAACATCACTGCTCTAGAGGAGATCTGCATGGAGGAATGGGCCAACATGCCAGCAACAGCGTGTGCCAACCTTGTGAAGACTTACAGGAAACGTTTGACCTCTGTCATTGCCAACAAAGGATATATAACAAAGTATTGACATGAACTTTTGATATTGACCAAATACTTATTTTCCACCATAATTTGCAAATAAATTCTTTCCAAATTAGCCAATGTGATTGTCTGGATTTTTGTTCTCATTTTGTCTCTCATAGTTGAGGTCTACATATGATGCCAATTACAGGCCTCTCTCATCTTTTTAAGTGGGAGAACTTGCACAATTGGTGGCTGACTAAATACTTTTTTGCCCCACTGTAAATCTACCTGCTTTAAGTTAGAACATGGTAGATTGTTCAGAAAATGTAGACAGTGTATGGATAGGATTCTGGTAATAACAATCTATTTATTGGGAATATGTGTAAATTATGTCATCCTGTTAAAATACAAGCAAACAAGAGACTGTCTACACCTGCACCCAATTTTTATAGATTTCCATGACATCTCCATCCCTGTCATTTCATATTATTCCACATTCACGATACCTTTGTCTTGTATTTTATAACCGCACTTCTCTCCTGTATTTAGCAAGCATGCAGAAAGGATTAGTCAATGTAATCTCAATATATAGAAAATATAGATTTAAGCCCCTTCACAAATCTGTAGCGTTTTGCTTAGCATTACTATGTGCACATTAATGTGTGTTATTTTACACAATAAAGTACATTATATAAGTTGGCCCATTTTTTTAGCATAAGCTACCGCCACACCACAATTCTAAAAAAAAAACTTGACAAAAATATTAAATCCAGTGAAGGCATTTTCAGGAGGTCAGCAATGGCAGCCTATGTATTCCTCTCCTACCAAGTTCCCTTTAGAATGCTTTTCTTTATTTACCAACAGTCTTTGTTTATTCTTTAATGTTGAAGGGTTTATATGGATAACGCCGCTCAGTAATCAGTTTGAAGTTTTCCCAGTTTACTCTTATTAAACCTTAAAGTGATACTACAGCTAAAAATGTTTTTTACCTTAATACATTCCTTTTATTAGGGTAAAAAACGTTTTTTTTTTTTTATTTTTATGCCCTCCCCCCTTCCCTGTGTGAAGGGGAAGAGAGGGGAGATGAAATCCAGCGCTGTGCATGGCTGCATCTTTTCTCCCCTTGCTTCCTCTTCGCACAGCACTTGAGCTCCTGCAGCTGTCAATCAAATTCAAGTGGGGGGCTGGACTAAGTCCCACTGGGTAAGTGTATGGAGTGTGGTTCCATAGATACACAGCTCGGGATGTTGGGGACACACAGAGGAGGAGCCAGGATCACTGGTGGGAGACCCAAAAAGAGGAGGATCGGGGCCACTCTGTGCAATACTGTTGCACAGAGCAGGTGAGTATAACATGCTTGTTAATTTAATAAAAAAAAAAATATCAGAATAACACACATACGTGCAAGTATGGATATGGCCACTCTGTGGATATGGTTTGATAAAGTTACAAAAAATTACATGCTGTGACCCACAGCAACCATTCAGGAGGAAAAGTTTAGCAGTTAATGGTTGTAAAGGTGACCTTTTTTTAAAAATATATTTTATTTTTAGTAGTAGGCAAGGGCAGGCAGCAAAAAAAAACCTGATAGGGTTTTACCCCTTTCCTACTCTATACCATAAAAGGATAAATAGTTTGGATTGCTTGCACTGTAAGTGCAGTGAAAATAATTAATACTGTAATTGATTTGTGTTACTGTGTATCATTGTTTTCTAAACTTGACATTTATGGCAAATGTGTTGTCTCAGGTTATGAGAACTACTGGATTTTTCAAGGGATTGTACACAGAATCAGAATTGAAATCAGATAATGTAAAGGTATGTATTCATCCTTTTCTACATTTGTTTAAAAATCTCTCAATACTAAAATATGACATCCTGTATTAATCGTGTGTGTGTGTGTATATATACATATATATATATATATATATATATATATATATATATATATATATATATATATATATATAGATCACAGTCAGGTTTCTGTGAGACAAAGACAAATCATTTCAGAACTTTTTCCACCTTTAATGTAACCTATAAACTGTACAACTCAGTTGAACAACAAACTGAAATCTTTTAGGTGGAGGGAAGTAAAAATAAAAAACTAAAATAATATGGTTGCATAAGTGTGCACACCCTTAAAATAATACTTTGTTAAAGCACCTTTTGATTTTATTACAGTACTCAGTCTTTTTGGGTATGAGTCTATCAGCATGGCACATATTGACTTGGCAATATATGCCCACTCTTGTTTGCAAAAACACACCAAATCTGTCAGATTGTAAAGCATCTCCTGTGCACAGCCCTCTTCATATCATCCCACAGATTTTCATTCGGATTCAGGTCTGGGCTCTGGCTGGGCCATTCCAAAACTTTAATCTTCTTCTGGTGAAGCCATTCCTTTGTTGATTTGGATGTATGCTTTGGGTCCTTGTCATGCTGAAAGATGAAGTTCCTCTTCATGTTTAGCTTTCTAGCAGAAGCCTCAAGGTTTTGTGCCAATATTGACTGGTATTTGGAACTGTTCATAATTCCCTCTACCCTAACTAAGGGCCCAGTTCCAGGTGAAGAAAAACAGCCCCCAAAAGCATGATGCTGCCACCACCATGCTTCACTGTGGGTATGGTGTTCTTTTGGTGATGTGCAATGTTGTTTTTGCGCCAAACATATCTTTTGGAATTATGGTCAAAAAGTTCAACCTTGGTTTCATCAAACCATAACACATTTTCCCACATGCTTTTGGGAGACTTCAGATGTGTTTTTGCAATATTTAGCCAGGTTTGGATGTTTTTCTTCGTATAAAAAGGCTTCCATCTTGTCACTCTACCCCATAGCCCAGACATATAAAGAATACCAGAGATTATCACATGTAGCACACAGCCAGTACTTGCCAGATATTCCTGCAGCTCCTTTTAATGTTGCTGTAGGCTTCTTGGCAGCCCCCAAGACCAGTTTTCTTCTCGTCTTTTCATCAATTTTGGAGGGACGTCCAGTTCTTAGTAATGTCACTGTTGCGCTATATTGTCTCCACTTAATGATGATTGTCTTCACTGTGTTCCATGGTATATCTAATGCCTTGGAAATTATTTTGTACCCTTCTCCTGACTGATACCTTTTAACAATAAGATCTCTCTGATGCTTTGGAAGCTCTCTGCGGACCATGGCTTTTGCTGTAGGATGTGACTAAGAAAATGTCAGGAAAGACTTATTAGAACAGCTGAACTTTATTGGGGTTAATCAGAGGCACTTTAAATGATGGCAGGTGTGTACTGACTCCTATTTAACATGATCTTGAATGTGATTCCTTAATTCCGAACACAGCTACATCCCCAGTTATAAGAGGGTGAGCACACTTATGCAACCACATTACTTATGTTTACTTCCCCCCACCCACCCCCCAAAGCTCACTTGGCCTCATTTATCAAATAATCAGTACTAAGAACTGTGTGTATTGTCCCAGAGCCAATTATCCATTTTAGACATGCCTGGGCACTGTTGCTGTCACTATGAACTCAAGTAAAGGCACTCCCTGTGGTTCTTTACATGATGAGCAGAACTGCCGGGCTTGTGTTCAAGAGACTCATTAAAAAACCGCATCACCGGCTATTTGTAGGTGCTCAGTTTCAGTAAATCCTATGTAATTCCTTTAAAGCTGGAACTCCAGGCAAACAACATGCATTGGAGCTACCAAAGGACTTGTATCTATTTCTCTGCAGTGTTGAGATCTATACAGCCCTGCTACTTTGCACAGCCTACCTGGTAACCTGACCTTTCTCTGCTGCAGTTTGGCAAGATGGCTGGGTCGCCTTCCTAACCCTAGCCTGTGATTAGACAGTGAGGAAACATAAACAGATTGATGAGGACATCTCTCTGCTTTCTCTTCCTGTCTACAGTTCCTATTCATGTGAATGCAGCACATTTTTCCAGGGTGGATTTGATTTAAATCACTAGTGAAAAGGCTCAATTTAAATCATAATTTTTAAAGTGCAACTGTCATCTCTGTCCCACTGTTGACTCACCGACAGTCCTATTCACTTTAATGGGATGGCTGGTGATGTGGCAGTGACACAACAAGGGGAGAGACCTGGTGGCAGCAGGTGAGTGGATGTCCGCTAACAGGCGCTGCCATAATTGATTTAAAATGACAGGTGCTCTTTAAATGTAAGGAATCTGACTCATTCTTATTGGTAGTTAGAATCTTAAATATTTGAAAACTAAATGAAGGTTTCCTTTTTAGAATAATATGCTGTCAGGTTAGTAAAACAGTGATATCGGAACCGATTTTAGGTTAATAGGTTAATCACACATAGTTGAACTACTCAAATTCTTTTATTTCATGTTTTTTCTCATGGTTACTGTGAAATTGTGTGAATGCATCAATGCAGTGCATGTTATCTCAGCTTGCAGAGCTTGGATTCATTGAATGAGTTTACCAAAAAATGTAAATATTGCTGAAATTACAGACTCATGCTACTTAACTAAGCTCCATTTCATGCTCAATTAACTAAATTATTAATGTATCTTAAAGAGAAAACTATCTTTAGATAGATGTTTACTCCAAAAGCATTTTATTAAAATATACAGTGAGGAACAGAAGTATTTGAACACCCTGCGATTTTGCAAGTTATCCCACTTAGAAATCATGGAGGGGTCTGAAATTCACATTGTAGGTGCATTCCCACTCTGAGAGACAGAATTTAAAAAAAAAAAAATCAGGAAATCACATTGTATGATTTTTAAAGAATTTATTTGTCTTGCACCGCTGAACATAAGTATTTGAACACCTAAGAAACAGCAAGAATTCTGGCTCTCAAAGACCTGTTACTGTGCCTTTAAAAAGTCCACCTCTACTCCACTCATTAATCTAACTTAGTAGCACCTGTCTGAGTTCTTTAACCTCCTTAGAGGTATTCCCGAGTGTAGCTCGGGGTAAAATGTCAGTACCAAAAGCGGTAACCCCGAGCTACACTCGGGCTTACCATGCGGCGTTGCTCATGGAGTCCCTGCAGCACTTACCTTGTCCTTCGCTCCCACGATGTGTCCCCTGCAGCGTCCCCGGCCATCTCCTCCGGCCGATGCCGGCATCCGGCTTCCGTGTTCCGGTCCCTGTGACGTCGGGACGTACGGGCACAGGAACTGGCGGCAAATTTGAAATTTAAAAAATGTCTTTTTTTTAAATGATTATTACATGTAAAACATTGCTGTTTCAATGCATTTCACATACATTTTGTCCCTACTGCTTTGTCCTGTGCCCTGCCTGCATTTTGACTGTTCTTTCTGCCTGGAAACTTAGAAAAGTCCACGGCGTCCAAAAAGCGTCCCTTTACGTCAAAAGCGGTTTTAGACCAGCTAGAGAACAGCAATAGTAAATCAGAACCACTTGCAGAATTGAGTGATAATGATTCGTGGGGAAATTCGTCATCAGACACTGAAAACGATTTTGCGACTTTGCTCAGCGATGTGCGAATTTGCCTCTGTATTTAAAATTTCAGTGTTTTTGGTTTGATTATATTATTGAATTAAATTTATTATTATTATATTATTATTTTTTATGATTATTTATTAAATTATAATTTATGATTTCGTGTTTCAAATTTTATCCTACCTGGGATGTTTACTAGACTCTTGTTCGTACATATTTCAGTGAGTTATTCCTAAAAATTACAGCCTACAATAAAAAACTACATATTTCCATGCAAAAAAATGGTACCGTTTTCAGCACAAAAAATCGGAAAGAATCATACCGCCGAGGAGGTTAAAGACACCTGTCCACTCCACAGTCAGTCAGACGCAAACTACTACCATGGGCAAGATCAAAGAGCTGTCGAAAGACACCAGAGACAAAATTGTGGACCTCCACAAGGCTGGATAGGGCTACGGGGCAATTGCCAAGCAGTTTGGTGAAAATAGATCAACTGTTGGAGCAATTGTTAGAAAATGGAAGAGGCTAAAGACGACTGTCAGTCTGCCTCGGACTGGGGCTCCATGCAAGATCTCACCTCGTGGGGTATCACTGATGATAAGAAAGGTGAGGAATCAGCCCAGAATTACAAGGGAGGAGCTGGTCAATGACATGAAGAGAGCTGGGACCACAGTTTCAAAGGTCACTGTCGGTAGAACACTACGCCGTCATGGTTTCAAATCATGGATTGCACGGAAGGTTCCCCTGCTCAAGTCATCACATGTCCAGGCCCGTCTGAAGTTTGCCAATGACCATCTGGATGATCCAGAGGATGCATGGGAGAAAGTCAAATGGTCAGATGAGACCAAAGTAGAACTTTTTGGTCTAAACGTCACTCGTCGTGTTTGGAGGAAAAAGAAAGATGAGTTGCATCCCAAGAACACCATCCCTACTGTGAAACATGGGGGTGGTAACATCATGCTTTGTGGGTGCTTTTCTGCAAAGGGGACAGGACAACTGCACTGTTTTTAAGGAGAGGATGAATGGGGCCATTTATTGTGAGATTTTGAGCAACAACCTCCTTCCCTCAGTCAGAGCATTGAAGATGAGTCGTGGCTGGGTTTTCCAACATGACAACGACCTGAAGCACACAGCCAGGATAACCAAGATAACCAAGGAGTGGCTCTGTAAGAAGCATATCAAGGTTCTGGAGTGGCCTAGCCAGTCTCCAGACCTAAATCCAATAGAACATCTTTGGAGGGAGCTGAAACTCCGTGTTGCTCAGCAACAGCCCCGAAACCTGACAGATCTAGAGGAGATCTGTGTGGAGGAGTGGGCTAAAATCCCTGTTGCAGTGTGTGCAAACCTGGTCAAAAATTACAGAAAACATTTGATTTCTGTAATTTCAAACAAAAGCTTCTGTACCAAATATTAACACTGATTTTCTCAGGTGTTCAAATACTTATGTTCAGCAGTGCAAGACAAATACATTCTTTAAAAATCAAACAATGTAATTTCCTGTTTTTTTTTTTTTTTTTTTTTTTTTTTTTTTTTTTAAATTCTGTCTATCAGAGTGGGAATGCACCTACAATGTGAATTTCAGACCCCTCCATGATTTCTAAGTGGGAGAACTTGCAAAATCGCAGGATGTTCAAATACTTCTGTTCCTCACTGTATTTTAATAAAAATCAAATCCGATTTAACCACTTGCCTACAGGGCACTTATACCCCCTTCCTGCCCAGGCCAATTTTCAGCTTTCAGCGCTGTTGCACTTTGAATGACAATTGCGCGGTCATGCAACACTGTACCCAAATGAAATTTTTGTAATTTTTTTCAGACAGAGCTTTATTTTGGTGGTATTTAATTACCTCTGGGTTTTTTATTTTTCGCTAAACAAACCAAAAACAACTGAAAAAACATGTTTTTTCTTAGTTTCTGTTATAAAATTTTGTAAATAAGTGATTTTTCTCCTTCACTGATGTGCGCTAATGAGGCTGCTGTGATGGGCACTGATAGGCGGCACTGATGAGGCACTGGTAGGTGGCACTGATGGGCACTGACTGGCATCACTGATGGGCACTGAAAGGCAGCACGTATAGGTGGCACTGTTAGACGGTGCTGACTGACACTGATTGGCAGCACTGATAGGTGGCACTGACTGGCATTGATAGGTGGCACTGAAAGGCAGCTCAGATGGTCACTGATATGTGGCATTGGTGTGCACCGGTAGGCACTTATATGTGGCATTGATTGGCACTAACAGGTGGCATTGATGGGCACTGACAGGTGGCACTGATGGGGCTACACTGATCATCAGTGCCCTGCTGAGCAGTGTACATGTCCCCTCTGAGTAATGCCGATTACTGGCTCTCTCCTCACGTGCTGTCAGCATGACAGCTGGTGAGGAGAGAACTGCCGGCATTTCCTTATTTACATGTGATCAGCTGTGATTGAACACAGCTGATCACGTGACAGAGCAGACGTCTTCGGCTCTTTCTGTTGATCGGTGATCCGCTGTGTCCCAGGGACACCGCGCACAATCGATCGCTGTTCTGCGCGCCTAGAGTAGGAGGATGTGATATGACGTCCTCCCAGAACAAGAGAACCCCCTTACGCCCGCCACTTCCTTATATGGCAGGTGGGAGGTGGTTAAATTAAAAATAAATTTTTAGAAAAAAGTTTGTTTTTTTTTTATTATTATTATTATTTTTTAAAAAAAATCAACAATTTTTTTTTTTTATCCACACTGCACCTTACGGAACCAAGTATAACGCTTCCCTCTTCCAGTCAAGTTTAGTTATCTGTAGCAGTTGCATTTAAAGTATGGTTTTCTAATAAATTGATAACTGTATTCATGAGTTTGTTTTTCTTTTTATATGCTGTAAATGCTAACAAACTTCTATTTTTCTCTCTTTTGATCTGGTAAATATACAGTTCAGAGAATTTTGTTGTATCTGTTTGATAATTGTAAAAAACAATACCTGTTGATCCTGCCAGAAATCTTGTAAGTTGATAACTACATGAGCTCTCTGTCTCTGCTGACTCTTATCAGTTTGCATTGTTCCCAGTTTTCTTTTTGGGACTATATAACAGCTCTGTGGGCCTACAGAGAGGGAGATGGTCCCTAACACGCTTCCTTTCTTAAAATGACAGTGCTGCTCCTCCATAGACACCTTATGATAAGTGAGCATTGTCACACTAATACAGGAAGTGTGTCTGGTAGGATCAGTGGATGGAAGAAAAATAAAAGAAAGTATAGTGCAGCCACCACATCTAAGGACTGGTAAGCGGCCATAATAAATTATGCTTTAAATGTCCATTGTGTGGGTCAGTCACTTATAGACATGCCATGTAAAGCACTGTTATACCCAGAAGGCGTTTCTACTTTTAGGGGCTTATTTTCATGTGTATCCAAAAAAAAGCATTGACATAATGTCTGCCTGGTTGGCATTTTAACCTGGTGGCTATGAGGTGGTAAAACAGTTCTTAAAGTGAAACTAAACCCTTCTATCCTTTTCAGCCAAGGAAGTTGCCACCCTAGCTTCTGTTTCAACTGGTGTTGCAATGGTGCTGTCAATGTGATCAGGCTGATTGATGCACATGTACGTGGGTATATGTACTGTGGGCAGGCAGGAAATAGTTAATAAAAAGTGCACTTATTTTCTTCTTTTTCTTCATCACATTCTATTCTTACATAGTTACATAGTTAGTCTGACTGAAAAAAGACAAAAGAGTCCATCCAGTTCAACTATAGAAAAAAAAAAAAGTTATAATCCTATACCCACAGTTGATCCAGAGGAAGGCAAAAAAAATCCAGCAAAGCACGATCCAATTTGCTCCTGCTGGGAAAAAAATTCCTTCCTGATCCTCCAAGAGGCAATCGGATATTCCCTGGATCAACTTTACCTATAAATGTTAGTATCCAGTTATATTCTGTGTATCTAAAAGAGAATTCAGGCCTTTTTTGAAGCAATCCACTGAGCTGACCAGAACCAACTCTTTAGGGAGTCTATTCCACATTTTCACAGCTCTCACTGTGAAGAAACCTTTCCGTGTTTGGAGATTACATTTAATTTCCTCCAGACGTAAAGAGTGCCCCCTTGTCTCTGTGATGACCTCAGGGTGAATAACTCCACACCGAGTTCACTATATGAACCACTGATGTATTTATACATGTTCATCATATTCCCCCTTATTCTCCTCTTCTCAAGAGAGAATAAATTCAGTTCCTCTAATCTTTCCTCATATCTGAGCTCCTCCATGCCTCTTATCAGTTTGGTTGCCCTTCTCTGTACTCTCTCCAGTTCCCCAATGTTCTTTTTGTGAATTGGTGCCCAAAACTGAACTGCATATTCCAGATGAGATATTACTAATGATTTGTACAGGGGTAAAATGATATCTCTCTCTTTGGAGTCTATACCTCTTTTAATACAAGAGAGGATTTGCATGGCAATTGATTCCCCCAGTTGTACCCCCCTAGTATGTATGATGCATGCATATTTTTAGCCCCCAAGTGCATAATCTTACATTTGTCAACATAGTTGCCCAATTAAACAGTGCATTGAGGTCGGCTTGTAAATTGGAGACATCCTGTAAGGACGTTATTCCACTGCACAGCTTGGTGTCATCTGTAAAGACTGAAATGGGATTTTTAATCTCAGACCCTATATCGTTTATAAATATATTAAAAGTAAAGGGTCCCAACACTGAACCTTGGGGTACAACACTGAAAACCCCAGAACATTCAGAGTATGAATCATTAACCACTACTCTCTGAATACGATCTTTTAGCCAGTTTTCTTTCCATTTTCATACGGATTTTTACAAGCCTGTAGACTTTACCTTACACATTAGCCGTGTGTGGGGAACTGTGTTAAACACTTTTGCAAAATCTAAGTATACCATGTCCACCGCCACCCCTCTGTCCAAGGTTTTGCTCACCTCCTCATAAAAAGAAATCAGATTTATTTGACAACTTCTGTGTTTCATGAATCCATGCTGTCTGCATTCTGCAGGATCCATTGTAGCCTTCTGTTCATTTTTAGTTTGATACTATCAAAGGGAAATGTTTTGTACGGTCATAAGATCACCATACACTATACAATCTGACTGTACAATCTCCTTAGATCTACTATCACCTATGTAGTGCAATGACCTGCCAGATTGGATATAGATTGAATAGATTAGGTGTGTCCTCCTATTATATATTGTTTGGTGAATCTAAAGGTGCCGCTTTGTGTTGGTCTATCACATACAATCCCTATAAAATACATTTACGTTTTTGGTTGTAACATAACAAAATGTGGAAAATTTCAAGGGTATGAACATTTTTCAAGGCACTGTATGTGTGTGCCTTAGCTGGCCAGTCCTTGTGGAAGTTGGAAATCGCTGTATTGTTTACCACTACTGCAGTGATCGCTTCTAGCTCTGCACAGAGTGGCTGCCCTGCTGCTTAGTAAAACACAAGGAGTCACTTGTTTGCTATGCTTACTATTCAAAAAATACTTTCCATGTTCTCAACGTATGCAAAGCATTTTCTGATTGTTCAAGGTGGAGGTGGCAGTGACGTCATCATACCTACCTCCATAAAATCAGACATCGCTTTAAATGTATTGTGTAAATGCAAAGTATTCTTTAAATGGTGCCTTTGCCAAGCAAGTGGCCATCTGTGTTCATTAAGCAGCCGGACAGCCTCTCGGTACAGGACCTGGAAGCTAGTGGCAATTACTGTAGTAGTGGTGCCTAATGTAGTCATTTCCCGTTTCCACAGGAATTGGCCAGATATGGCACATACATATATTTGTCCAATCTGGACCAATGTAACTATGCAAAAAATGCCATGCCTAAACTTCAGCTGTAACTGCAACTACATTGCACAGTTACACAGTATATTAAATGACAATAATGTTTTATTTTCACATTCTGCTTTGGCCTCCTTTTTTTTTATTTTTTTTTTCGGTTCCATAGTAAAGGTCATCAGTAGGTACAGCAAAAGCAAATCCAGACAAACAGAAAAATCCAAGCTATGAGACATTGCAAACTTTTTATTTACCATTGACCTGCTTAAATATGATATAAACCACTAGAACTGATTAATTTATTTCCTAGTTGAAAGAAAACATGGCACATTCCTGAGCTATCACTTACATGGCAACCTCCACATAAACTTCACTATTGTTGCCCAGTTACAAATGAACACAAGGGCTTGCTAGAATGGCTGAATATTAATGGGAGGTAGTTAGACCAGTAAACTTGTAGCAGACATTCCATCCTTTTTCCTTTCTTCCCCTCTATATAATTTGCTTTTGCATGCTGGTTTGTACATATCTACTCCTATATATGTACTTTACCTGAGCATCTCTATGCTATAAATACATAATGAAGGTATGCTGTTTTACAGATATATCAGAAAGTTTGCAATAACCTTTGTTTTGTAATGATCACACAGGTGTTTAAAGCAACCCTTCTCAAACTTGTTACCCCAGAGAAACCCCTAAAATACAGTGAAGGAAATAAGTATTTGATCCCCTGCTGATTTTGAATGTTTGCCCACTCACAAAGAAACGATCAGTCTAAAAATCGAATGGTAGGTGTATTGTAACACTGAGAGACAGAATAGCAACAAAAAATTCAAAAGAAATGCATGTCTAACAAATTATACACTGGTTTGCATGTTCATGAGGGAAATAAGTATTTAATCCCCTTCACAAAACATGACTTAGTACTTGGGGGCAAATCCCTTGATGGCAATCGCAGAGGTCAGATGTTTCCTGTAGTTGGCCACCAGGTTTGCAAACATCTCAGGAGGGATTTTGACCCACTCCTCTTGGCAGATCCTCTCCAAGTCATTAAGGTTTGGTGGCTGATGTTTGGCAACTCAAACTTTCAGCTCCCTCCACAGGTTTTCAATCGGATTAAGGTCTGGAGACTGGCCAGGCCACTCCAGGACCTTAATGTGCTTCTTCTTGAGCCACTCCTTTGTTGCCTTGGCCGTGTGTTTTGTGTCATTGTCATGCTGGAACACCTATCCATGACCCATTTTCAATGCCCTGGCTGAGGGAAGAAGGTTCTCACCCAAGATTTGATGGTACATTGCCCCGTCCATCGTCCCTTTGATGCGGTGCAGTTGTCCTGTCCCCTTAGCAGAAAAACACCCCCAAAGCAGAATGTTTCCACCACCATGTTTGACAGTTGGAATGGTGTTCTTAGGGTCATAGGCAGCATTCCACCTATTCCTCCAGATATGGCAAGTTGAGTTGATGCCAAAAATATCGATTTTGGTCTCATCTGACCACAACACTTTCAACC